ATTTTTACAGGCGTTTCATTAAGAATTTCTCTGCCGTTATTACACCGATCACTGAACTTACACGTAAAGGGACTCCTTTTCAGTGGTCCAATAAGGCTGACACTGCATTTTCCAGATTAAAGACTCTGTTTACATCTGCCCCTATCTTGGTACATCCTCAGCCAGAATTGCCATTTACTGTAGAGGTAGATGCTTCTGATTCAGCTGTTGGGGCTATACTGTCTCAAAGGACTGGACCTAAGATGTTGTTACATCCATGTGCCTTCTATTCCCGCCAGATGTTACCAGCAGAAAGAAATTATGACATAGGGAATAAAGAACTTTTGGCTATAAAAGCTGCCTTCACCGAATGGAGACATCTCTTGGAGGGAGCCACCCATCCAATTACTGTCCTCACAGATCACAAAAATCTGGAATGTATCCAATCCGCTAAGAGACTGTCAGCCAGACAAGCACGCTGGTCCCTATTTTTCTCAAGGTTTAATTTTTTTATTTCATACCGCCCTGGTTCCAGAAATGGCAAGGCGGATGCCTTGTCTAGGATAGCTGACCCCCTCCATACTACAGTAACCAAGGCCACCATCTTGCCGGAGAGCAGATTTTTAGGAGTTACCTTTCCTTCTGATCTAATGTCTCGCATTAAAAAGGGCTACTCTAAAGATCCAGTTTTTCGTGATCCTCCTCGTGATCTTCATATGACCATGCTTAATGGGTTTTGGATTTTTCAACAACGTCTGTTTGTTCCAGAATCAGTGCGACTGGACGTTTTACGCCTCTACCATGACTCTAAACCAGCAGGTCATCCAGGAATCCGAAAGACACAAGAACTACTTACCCGATCCTTTTGGTGGCCTAAATATTATGAGGATGTTAAGAAGTATGTGTCATCTTGTGATGTATGTGCCAGACATAAGACTCCTCGCTCATCCCCTGTTGGCTTGCTTCAGCCTCTTCCGATTCCTCATCGTCCCTGGGGATCTATATCCATGGACTTTATTGTGGAACTACCTCCCTCTAAGGAACACACTACTATTCTTGTTGTTGTGGACCGGTTAACCAAGATGAGTCATTTCATACCAGCTCGTGGTCTCCCTTCAGCTAAACAGACTGCTGACCTTGTTATTCGGGAAATATTTCGCTTGCATGGAGTGCCTGATGAAGTAATTTCTGACAGGGGAGTGCAGTTTACATCTCATTTTTGGAAATATTTTTGTTCTATTCTAGGTATTAATGTAAATCTGTCTTCAGCTTTTCATCCACAAAGTAATGGACAGACTGAGCGAACCAACCAGACTTTAGAACAATATTTGCGGTGCTATATTAGTTACCTGCAGGATGACTGGCTGGATTTTCTACCCACGGCGGAGTTTGCCTATAACAATGCCCAACACTGCTCCACTTCTCTGAGCCCATTTTTTGCCAATTATGGTTACCATCCAACCTTTCTAGTGAGTCTCCCAATTACTACTCCCATTCCTGCAGTCACTGACCGGCTAACCGCCTTACGAGATTCCCAAGAACTGTTGAAGGAGACTCTTTCGGAGGCTCAGGAATGTTACAAAAGAGCTGCTGATAGGCACAGAAAGGAGGCCCCAGTTTATCATGTTGGTGACAAGGTTTGGCTGTCAACAAAGAATCTTAAGCTTAGGATTCCTTCTCATAAATTGGGTCAAAAGTTCATGGGACCTTTTAAGATAATCGCTCAGATCAATGCAGTCACCTTCCGTCTGCAACTTCCGGATTCCATGAAAATACATCCGGTGTTTCACGTGGCACTGCTTAAACCTTTTCATGAAAATACTTTCCCTGGTCGAGCCTTGCCTGCCCCACCACCAGTCCTCGTGGATGGTGAAGATGAATACGAGGTGGAAAAAATTCTGACTGATCTCCAAGCTTCAATATTTGGTTCATTGGAAAGGCTATGGTGAGGAGGATAGATCGTGGGAACCAGTGGACAATATTCATGCTCCTGATCTTCTTCAATCTTTCCATGCACAGTACCCTGCTAAACCAAGAAATAGGGCATCCAGAGGCTGCGCCTGTAGAGGTGGAGGTAATGTGAGGAACTGACTCTGCTGGGTTTCGAACCCTGGTTTACATGGTGCTAAACCTCTTCCTTACCAGTACACCAGCCTGCCTTTTGCAAATTCACCTGAGATCTGATACCATTGCTTGTAGAGTCAAGGTTATCAGTGACAACTCTCTTCAGCTGTGTCTGGTCAGGTGTCTGGTTCTTGGCCTATAAAAGCCACTTCCTGTCTCTGTACCTTTGCCAGATTATTGTGGTTCCTGTACTCTCTAATCCAGCGTGTTCCTGTTTCTCCTTCCTGTTGCTGAATTTGGACTGTTTTGACTTTGCTGCTTCTCCTTCCCACTGACCTCGGCTTGCCTCACTACGATTATCATCTTTCTGTTCCAGTCTCCCATCTCTGCTTAAGACCAGAAGGCCACTCAAGGCTCAGGGGCTCAACCACCTGGGTAACGAGTGGCTACCTCTGGCAGAAAACATTGCTGATCTGGCTACTGGACTCCAAAACTTTGTAACATCAATATCATTACACACACACACACACACACACTGTTATTTCCTATGTATGTATAATATATTATAAAATAATTAAAGCATTTTAAAAAATATATTATACATATAATGTAATCATATATGCATTATATAAGTGTATTTTGAGATATATGTGTATATATCCGGCGGGAGAGGACAGAGCTGCAGCAGGGGGAACTGCTGAGGTCTTGGGCTGTCCCCCTGGACCGGGATTGCCAGTCCAGACGAGTACTCGGGTCATTTTAGCCACGGATGTGCAGGGTACGTCCACGGTCATTAACTGCCTTTTTTTGTTGGACGTACCCTGCACGTCCGCGGTCATTAACTGCCTTTTTTTTGTTGGACGTACCCTGCACGTCCGATGTTGGGAAGGGGTTAAAGGGATCCTATAGTGTCAGGAAAATAAACCTGTTTTTCTGGCACTATAGGGATAATAGGTCACCCCCCCTTCCTCAGGGCCCCCTCCTGCGGAAGCGGCCTCTAGTGGCTGTCAGGCACACGGCCACTAAAGGCTGGATTAACCCGGCAATGTAAACATAGTAGTTTCTCTGAAACTGCTATGTTTACAGCTGCAGGGTTAAAACTAAGTGGTCTGGATGCATATAGTGGTCCCTTTAATGTCTCCCCCCCTCCCTTCTTCTTACCTTTTACCAGGGAGGGCGGACATAATGCTGCAAGCCCTGGTGTTCCAGTGGTGGCATGTTTACTTTAGCCTGCAGCTCCTCCGGCTGCAGGCTGATTCTCCTGTCCTCCTGCGAGCACAGCACTGTATCAGAGCGTTGCCAAGATAACGGGTGGCAACGCTCCAACCAGCTTGCTCGCGGAAGGAACAAAGAGCCTCCCCAGGCCCTTCCCACCCTCTGCTGGAAGTGCCAGCGAGCAGGTGAGAGAGATCTTTGATCTCCTCAACAGCCCAAGAGGGCTTACAACAAGACTGGCTCTGCATTAGCCAGCAGGGGAGATAGAAGGATCTCCCCTGCCCTCCTCGGCCATCGAGGCCCACTGGGCATTTTCTGCAGAACCCACCGCCCACCAGAAATCCCAAACCACCCCAGGTTGACTATCCCTAGAATAAAGTATGAGTCAACTGATAGCAGCATAGTTGTTATCTGCTTATTAAGCAGTTACACTCCGCCTGAATGGTAAGTGGAACTGTGGCTAGGCCTAATCAATATAGTCTATAAACTTTTGCTAAACATAACTTTATGAGATAATAAAAAGCAGGGCAGACAAATTAATCATGTAAATAAACTTTTTTTTTTTTTTTTAATCAGATTCTTTTGGAGGACAAATCTGTCTAAATTTGGTTTCCTTTTTAAAAGGAACGCTATTGGGTCAGGAACACAAACATGTATTCCTTACCCCATAGTGTTAAAACCATCATTTAGATGGCTTGTTTCCCCTTAAAAGACACGCCTCCTTGCTGACATCAGAATTTAGGATTTCAGCCAATCCAATGCTTTCCCATAGGGAAGCTTGTCTGAGGTCTGTGAGGGAGGGAGGGAGGTAGGCATACTGAAGTAGAGCATGCCTGCCACTTCTGTTAGCTCAGGGTAGCCAATTGAAGTAAGAAGGAATCCTCCCTGGCTGTTTTAACAGCCGGGTGGGGGGGGGAAAGGGGGGGAGCCAATGAGAGACCGGTAGATGCAAGATGTGCATTACCCAGTATTAGAGAAGGCTTGGCGCCTACCAATTGCAGTTTAATTTTCTTAAATATATTTTTCTAACTCACTTTAGCCAACAGTGATTTTTAAGCAAATGCAGTAATAGGTTAGGAATATGTAATATTGATTTTGTGAAATAAAACATAAGTTGTTTTAAAATGAATAATTGATCTATTAAACTGAAAATAAATTACTGTGCTCTCATTACATCATTATCCTTGTAAGTTTAATGCTATATATTAAAATCAGTTATGATAGAACGGTTATACTAATCTTATATTGTCAATATAAAATCTTAATCTGGTTAAAAATATTACAGATAACAAGAACGAGTCTATACATTGAAAAGAGAATTAATTTGAGTCTTACAGACTAGAACTTTAAATCTGTTTTAAGCATATTCATCTCTGAATTGGATGAAACTCTTGTAAATCTATTTTGATATACACAACATGCCAGAAGATGGTGGCGCTACATAGACGATCTGCTGGTGTTGTGGAATGGCATATTGGAATTCCTTGAAAATTTCTTTATGTTGCTTACCTCTTGTTCTGATTAAATTAAAGGAACACTAGGAGGGGGCTGGATCTGGCGTTCAAGATGGCCGGACACATTCTGTAGCAGTTTCTGACATTATCAGTTTTCACTTGGCTTAAACTACATACATTCTGCTGAAAACAGCTAAAAGACAAGCACTACCTGCTGCTTAACTAAAGCAGACTCTCCGGGCCCTGAAAAAAAAAAAAAAAATACAAAATTAAAAAAATCGCCAGGGAAGCAACGTTTGCTGACCGGAACCACCGTCTAGCAGAATTTCCAGCCCATTGTCGCAGAGAGATGGCCAATATCCTGCCTAAGACATAGTGTCCTGAAGTGAACCCTCTTAGCCCTGTAACCCCCCACTCCCTCTGGACCAGGGGGAATATCCAGGTCCCCACTGGGCACACTTACCTCACCGTTGACACAGCCATAACTACGTGGCGAATTAAAGATGGTGCCTCGCCGAAGTACTCATTGCCTAAAGCCGACCCAGAAGGCCTGAACTGGAAAGACCACACCGAGGCCAGGTTTGATCCAAAACTCTTGGCATAGCCTATCTTGACACCTTTTCGTCATCCCCATACATGGGTAAATGGGAAATCATGCTAGGGGAAACTTTCACGAAACAGCATTGGGGCAAGATATGGGATTTGGTACATCATTGTGCACTAGCTAGTAAGACTCAGGAGATGGCCTATAAGGTTATGTCCATGTGGTATAGGACACCGCAGTCTCTGCAACATTTGAACCCAGTTCTAGACGACGATGGCTGGCTCTGTGGAGCCAGTACTGGCACGTTTCTACACATTTGGTGGAAATGCCCCAGGAGTAAATATTTTTGTCAGGCACTATGCGAGATTCTACACGTCTCTGACAACCCCTCTGCTTTCTGACCAGTCAGAATATTAAATACTGCAAAAGAAGTCCTCTGTTCTGGAAAAAAGACACACACCCTCCTTTAACAGTGTGGTTTGACAAAATGAAGGACCTGGGGAGTGGGAGAGCAGGTGGAGGGACTCTGGCCACTGTGTTGCTTCTATCCATATCGTCCCAGTGAGACGGTGCCCAGGCTTCGAATACTGAAGCATGTTGGATGTTGAGGAATACCAATATTATTCAATTGTATTACTTTATGTAACAGAAGCGATTACGGTCTGGCTGCCTGACTTTATCTTGACCTATGTACAACATGATCTAATTCACAGTTCTGCAGATGGGTTTTGCTGCCATGTCTTCTCATCACTGTTTTGCTCATAATGTCTATGAAGCAACTGCGGTAGATTCCAGCCTCTGCTCTAACATGGGTGTGCGTGCGCTCAAGCCTTGGATTTCCTCCTTCACTTTGTTGGTGGTCCAGGTGATTTTGTCAGCCAAATGGGAACCTCAACAAGTTTAGTGAGAATTTTTGGCTGTATCAGCCTAAAGGGGATTCCAGCAGAGAGGGATTGCTTGAGCCTGGTGGTGTACGTGGAGCATGTGGCTCACCCGTTGTCCATCTTAGATCAGGGCCTAGGCCGCAAAAAAGGTCCATCACCGTTAATCCTAGGTCCTGATGCTTATTTTGCTTTCTAGGTGTGCATTTATCCATCTGTAAGATAATTAAAGAGACTCTCCAGTGCCAGGAAAACAATCCAGGTTTCCTGGCACTGCAGCATCCTGCAGTGCCCCCTTCCCTCCCACCACCCCCTGTTGCTGAAGAGAGTTAAAACTCCTTCAGCTACTTACCTGAATCCAGCGCAGATGTCCCTCGGTGCTGGGTCAGTCTCTTCCCCCATGCCAATGTGGGATACCTAATGCACATGTGCGCCAATAGACCTCCCCATAGGAAATACAAAAAACAAACAAGAAATTGATGCAACTAGTCTCAGTGCATACAAAGCTCCGAGATCAGCCAAAAATAGACACCATGTAGGGAAACAATCCAAATCCATATAAAGGTGTGATACCCAATCCTAAATATCAGCTTTATTAACAGGTGTATTTTGAGATGTGTGTATATATCCGGTCGGAAAGGACAGAGCTGCAGCAGGGGGAACTGCTGAGGTCTCGGGCAGTCCCCCTGGACAGGGTTCGCCAGTCCAGACGAGTCCCCGGGCCATTTTAGCCGCGGATGTGCAGAGTACGTCCACGGTCATTAACTGCCTTTTTTTGTTGGACGTACACTGCACGTCCGATGTCGGGAAGGGGTTAAAGGGATCCTATAGTGTTAATAAAGCTGATATTTAGGATTGGGTATCACACCTTTATATGGATTTAGATTGTTTCCCTACATGGTGTCTATTTTTGGCTTGTATATTAGCATATGTATCTCTTGTATATACTTTGGTTTATTTATTATGTTTAGGTCTCAATAATAAGATTATACATTTTTTATGCCAATATACAGTAATTACTATATTACTACATATATATCCAGGGGATGCAGCTGATCTCGGAGCTTTGTATGCACTGAGACTAGTGGCATCAATTTCTTGTTTGTTTTTTGTATACATTGGGGTTAAGCTCCTGGAGTCTCTCTGCGGTACTTAAGATATCGGGTTAGACCTGTCACTATCCCATCTTTTGGGTTAAGTGTATGGGTATATACCTATATTCTTATTTTCATTCTTTTTTCTCCCCATAGGAAAGCATTATTCAATGCTTTCCTATGGGGAAAATCTGACGCTGGAGGTCCGTAAGGACGTCCAGCGTCAGATAACAGACCAAAGGTCGGTTTGGATTCTGGAAGCCCTCTACTGGCTGTTTGAGGGTAGACTTCGAGCTGCCATGTAAACACTGCAGTTCTCTGGAACTGCAATGTTTTACATTGCAACGCTAAGTGCAATAGGGGCACAGCACCCAGGCTACTTCAGCTAATTGAGTGTCCCTTTAAGCAAAAAAATGGCAACGGCTTATTTCTGCTAGCTATTATTAGCTGTTGGCCATGTGACAGGAGGGGAGTGTGTGTGTGTGTTTGTATGTACTGTTGCCAGTTGAATGCAGTGGTGTGTTTGTGTGTAGTGTTGACATTTGAATACAGGGGTGTATTAATGGTGGGGTTTGAATGCTGGGATGTATGGACATATAGATATTAAATCAGTAAGGAGCACACCCAAAAGAAATATTAAAAATAGTTTAAGTGTATAAATTCAAAACACATACATTGTACCGAAAACAAGTAATATCTATGAAAAATATACCAAACCCACAACATAGATTAGGGCAATAAATCAACATATACTATATAAGGAAACAATACATTCAACAAAAACAAAAATCCCAAAGCACTTAAATTGAAACAATCCTTACATGGAAACTAAAGCATAAGATACCATATAATAAACACCATACATACCAAATAGATAAATCAACTGAAAAAGGTATATAAAAATATAGGAGAAGAGGGCGATATCACAGGCCACAAAGAGTATCAGAAATGATATAAACAGATAGATTTCCTAGTCGAAACAATAAAGAGCAGCATGTTACCGCCATCTACTGGCTGTTTTTGGTATTACAGGAGGACCACATGCTTTCCCAACTAATTACACAGTGATCAGTCCTGTGCACCTGGCAAACCTGGGGATGCTCTTCAGCAGCCTGCAACCATAGAATCAGCATGGCTGATCATCATAACTCAGCCACAGTATTCTCAGTGTATATAGAACTCCCTTTAAACACTTAATACAGCACATTGGTTAGTGTGGAGCCACTAAAAATGGCCCCAGCTGACAGAGGAGTGCACCAGTAACACAATATCTTTCTGATGCACGAGATGAATGCACAAAAGCAGAGTAGTGACATCAGCTCCTGGAGCTTCAGAAGAGAACTGACACGAAGATGATGGCGGCCCTCACAAGGGACATGTTCAGCTAAGCAAAACCTACAGTTGCCTGCCCCTCCCCAGCCACCTGACCAACAGCAGCTATGACGACTGGTGAAAGCAGGGGAAATGACAAGCTAGATCGGCGTTGGCTCTGCCATGTGTCAAGCTTTGCCAGGTGAAGTAAAAATACTGAGACAAAAGTAGTCCCTACTTTGTCACAGTATATCTTTACTGGGTTAGAATTTCAGTGCAATTCCAACAAAGTCACTATGGGTATTTCATAAAGATATTTGACTACTGTAACAGGACTCCTGGCCACCCTAATATTCTCAAACAGACCATACACCTCCATCATCTTCTTATCTAAACCAGGGAACCCCCTATCCCCCCCCCCCTCTTTCCTCAACCCCTTCATCCTTATTTTACAACCACTGACAGACAGACCCTCAATACTGGCACAGCCGACAATGCTTTATAGATTCTAATAGATTTGCAGTTATGGTATTTTCAAACAGTTTGACCACGCTGGACCTATGCCTATGTTAGGGCTAGACTTTGGAACAAACTTAATTTATAATGTTAAGAAGTGAAATCTAACCATATCCAGTTCAGTTAAATTTTTGCATAGTTAGACCCTGTGGGTCTGGAAACATTCTGTTCAGAATTCATGACCTGATGCTTGGTTCTGCGAGACCATTATTTATTACGCAATGTTTGACCTGCAAGCCCATTCACACCTTTGATACGGATTTATCTCCATGAGGCTGAGTTAATGGTGAATGTTCATGCTTTGCTTTACTTAAACAATAAATATTTTATTCACAAATCTACCAAAGGGCAAAAATAAAAGAACACACCACATACATGCTTATGGTGGCATCTTCTGCCTATGAGAAAAAGTGTATAATTGTGTTTTTTTTTGTTTGTTTTTTTAACTGTGGTATTCAACCAGTATACTAAATGTTTCACAAATATTGTTTTATTTACTTGGTTAGGGCTACAGCTGAAAATAGCCTCCAGCTCTGATATGCATGTCCCTTTAAGAAAAATAAAAACAGCAGGGGCCTCCGGGCACCCTAACTTAATTTAGATGAATTCATTATGGTGCCTAGATTGTTGCTTTAATATAAGTTGAAGCTAAAGTGATAGGGTAAGAAAGAAAGACTTATTGTCCTAGTCAATATTTTCCAAGGCAAAGTGGTTAGCTGCAATGTTAATGGAGGGGAGGGGGGGGGTTGTAATGGAGGAAAATTGTGTGTTTTTGGAGAATAAAGCAGAATTGCAAATACTACTACTGAAGCTCCTCGAGGTGTAGTGTAGCAGACCTAAGAACAAAAACTACCTGTGCAGCAGTTTAGTTTTTAGAGTGATAACCTCACCTCATGATTAGTGATGTCGCGAACCGTTCGTGGCGAACTCCGGTCAGCTGACACATCCCGGCCAATCTCCAGCAGACCCTCCCTCCTCCTGGACAGCATCCATGTTGAAGGCAGCTTCAACACGGATGCTGTCCAGGAGGTGGGAGGGTCTGGAGGAGATTGGCCGGGATGTGTCAGCTGACCGGAGTTCGCCACGAACGGTTCGCGACATCACTACTCATGATGTGTTTATATGCATACTAACAACGTCTCCTAAGGCTGTAACGT